AATTCAAGCAATTACCTAGACAAGCATCCTGATCATTTTTGATGATAATTGAGTCAAAAATGTAACCACTTGAGTGTTAACAAGGTTTTTCCATATTTGGGTGGTGTGACCTAGTTTTTCATCCAAGATGACCCATGTTCGAACATTACCTAGAAATCATCAAAACAAATTTTCAGACCAATTTACAGGATACTTGGATCAAAACAGTAGCCACTAGAGTGGTAATAAGATTTTTCTATTTTTAGCTCTGGTTTAAATCCGAGATGACCCATGTTCGAACTCATCCGAGCAATGACCTAGACAAGCATCCTGAAGTTTGATGATAATTGAGTCAAAAATGTGACCACTAGAATGTTAAAAAGGTTTTTTCCATACTTGGGCAGTGTGACCTAATTTTTGACCCCAGGTGACCCAGATTCGAACTTGACCTAGAAATCATCAAAACAAACTTTCAGACAAATTTACAGGATATTGGGATCAAAACAGTAGCCACTAGAGTGTTAACAAGATTTTTCTATTTTTAGCTCCTGTGACCTAGTTTTTCATCTAAGATGACCCATGTTCAAACTAATCTGAGCAATTACCTATACAAGCATCCTGACCAAGTTTGATGACAATTGAGTCAAAAATGTGACCACTAGTTTTTCTATTTTTAGCTCCTATGACCTAGTTTTTCATCCGAGATGACCCATGTTCAAAGAAAATTTCCTTTGGGAAGAGGCCTTTTATTCTGTCATATAAGAAGGAAAATCACCGGTGAAAAGTCCTGAAATATTTACAATGACCATGTCAACATTAAGGCACCTTACCATGATAGTCATACATGTCAGTAGAGTAGAGAAAATTACTAAATCGAAAAAAAATCACCGTTTCACCAGAATGAGCCAACAAAAATTAATAATACTATGACCACAGGAGATTTCGTACAGAAAAGTTATGACTTTCTGCAGCAACCATTGAATTCCATAGCACACAGTGACTTCAAATAGCAATTAGTGACTGTAATAGCAACCATTGACTTTAAAATTAGCAAACGATAACTCCCATAGCGACCGTTTCTTTTTCATAATAACCATTGACTTCCATAGCAACCAGAGACTTAATAGCAAAGTTTAAATTTCCATTACAAACAGCGAAAATCTTCTATTAATCTGCATGAGCTAAAGCTTAGTTTCCATAGCAACCAATGACTTTATAGCAGCCATTGACTTTTCATAGCAACTGTAAATTTTCAAAGCAAACATTAACATGCCATAGCAATGAGTAAATCTACTATTGAATTTCATAGCAGCACTAACTTCCAAGGAAACCATTTATTTTGTATAGCAAACAGTGACTACTTTAGTAAATATTGTTTTCCTTTAGCAATAGGAACCATTAATGTTTTTAGGCATGCACTATTTCAGATACAAAAATTAATTTTGTTATATTAGTCAACCAAGGAAATATGAATTAACGAGTAATACACGTCATATTAGTTTAAGATTTAGATGATATATCTGCTTTCATTTAAAGTTTACAGTATTACTTGTTCTTTCTTGTAGAGAGGGTATTATATTCAGCTGAGTGTATAGAGGTCATCATGGCCCTCTTGTTGAAATCATTTGTGTTTCAATATTCATGGTCCTGTGCTCGGTTCAATGACAATTTTTACTTTCTTGATATTTCAGATCTGCCGAATCCAACTGGAATTGGTTCAGTAATGCCAAAGGGTGCAGGTAATTTTCATGCCCACTTCTAGGGGGCTCTAGGGGTGAATATATATTTGCCCTTGTCCATCTGTCTGTGTGTGTATGCATCCATGTGTGCGTTCTCATGTGGTGTCACAAGTAACTCTAAAAGTGTTGAGCTAGAATCAACAAACTTTACAAGAATAGTAATCAGCATGTAAAGCTGTGCACCTGTGGTTTTGTGTGTGGATTAATTTAGTTTTGTCAGAGTTATTACCCTTAACTTATAAAAAATTTAATTTTCAATTTGTGTTGTGCGTAGCTCAAAAAGTATTTGACCTGGAGTCATAGATCTTTACAGAAATGTTAGTAAGCATGTGTGGGTTGTGCACCTGGTGGGTTGCTTGTAGTCATGCAGCTTAAAACAGTATTTGACCTAGAATCATGAAACTTTACAGATATGTTGGTCAACGTGTGAATTTGTGCAGCTTTGGGATTGCTTGTATATTTATTCAGAAATGTTGAGTAATTTGAGCAAAGCCCTAAATGAATTTGACTTTGAGTCATGAAACTTTACAAGAATGTTGCTTCTGGGGTTTGCTTGTGGATTTATTCAGTATTTGTAGAGTTTTTGTCATTGACTTGGTAAAAGATTTTCAGTTTTCAACTTGTGTCATGTTTAGCCCAAAAAATATTTGACCTAGAGTCAGAAGATTGACAAAACAGCGGAGTGTGGGGGCACCCCTGTCCTATGGACACATTTCAAGTTATTTTTAGCTCAACTTTTCTTAAAAAAAAACTCGAGGTATTGTTATAGTCCTGGCGGTGTTGCCGTTGCCGATGCTGTTGCCGTTGCCATCCACAAACTTGTACCTGATCATAACTTTTTTATTTCTTGGTGTATTGTCTTCATACTCGGCCACAACAAGACCTGTCAGTAGACCACAATAACCTAGACCTTTATCCATAAATGACATTGACCTTCCAGGTCACAGGTCCAAATTTTGCTTGTTCTTGCTATTATTGGCTGTAACTTTGAAGGTCAAATTATTAAAATTTTCATTTTTTGGGCTGTAACTGGCTGATCATTTGCCCTGATGATCATAAGAGAAACCGGTTGGCAAATAATTAAATAAGTTAACTCATGGACTGTTTTTTTGTTTTATTTATATGTGACTTTTTTCCGGCACTTGTTTTCATTTTTTGTGTGTATATATATATATATATATATATATATATATATATATATATATATATATATATATATATATATATATATATATATATATATATGCATATAAATGCGTATATATGTAAATGCGTCTATATATATACAATGTATATATATATATATATTTATTTATCTTTTTCATTTTTATATGCCCGAAAGAATTTCGGGCATATAATGCTATACCCCCTGGTGTCCGTCTGTCCGTTCTTACCAGAGCTACATTATGGGGTTTTCTTTTGTTATTTCTTTTTCTTCTTTTTAACCCCACAATGCAGAAAATAACCCCACAAGAGAAACGGAATGAATGACATCAAAGACATCTATTGTTATGAGAACAATAGACCAAACCCCATAATGTAGCTCTGGTTTGTACGAGGGGACTTTAGGTTTACCCTCCGTCCGTCTGTCAGTCCGTCCGTCCGTCCGTCCACAAAACTGGATCCCGCGATAACTTGAAAAGTACTGAAAATATTTTTATGAAACTTAATATATGGATAGATGGCAGTATGGAGATTATGCACGTCTTTTTCTTATCTTCCTATGTTCAAAATTCTGGTTGCTATGGCAACAAATAGGCTGAAAATTAAATATGGCAAATTTTAGACATAAACTGGATCCAGTGTATGTTGAAAAATCTGGTTGCTATGGCAACACATAGACTAAAAATATGGCAAATTTTACACATAAACTGAATCCAGTGATAACTCAAAAAGTACTGGAAATATTTTTATGAAACTTGGCATATGGGTAGATGGCAATCTGGAAATTATGCATGTCTAATCCTTTCTTCCTATTTTAAAAAAAATTGGTTGCCATGGCAACAAATAGGCATAAAACATGGCAAATATAACACTATTTGTGATTAGTCAAAAAGAGCTGAACATTTTTATGAAATTGCAATTTTAATTCAAGACTTATCGCCTCTTTAAGAATTTTGCTTTTAAAAATGTTATATTTTGGTAACAGGGATGTTTCAAATATTAACTTTAGAGTGTCCTTCAGTCCGTCTGTCTGTCGGGAAACGGACAAAAGCCCTCCCGGACAAAAGCCCTCCCGTGAAAATGACAGAGCGGACAAAAGCCCTCCTGTGAAAATAACAGAGCGGACAAAAGCCCTCCCATAAAAATGACAGGGCGAACAAAAGCCCTCCCGTGAAAATAACAAGGCGGACAAAAGCCCTCCCGTAACAAAAATAAATATGTATGTTGAATATCTGTGTTTTTTTTCAATTCACTCAACATATTAAAATTGTTACATATATTTCTTGTTGTTTTCAATTGGCCTAAGTATGTGTATGAGCTAGAACCACCTTTTATCCTGAAATGTTTAACTTTTTACACGAATGTCGTTAAAAACAAAGTCACTTTTAAAAGTAATTGACTCATTACAAGGCACATTATAAATGTCTTTAATTTTTAAGCTTCTTTTTTGTCATTTATTACTCTATTAATATTAACTTCACATAGGAGTAATCCTTCATATCTATGTGAATAAATATGCACTTACAGATTTTATAGCACTAATTATTCAGATGCCTCTCAGGAATGTGCTCAAGCCCATACCATACAAACACGGTTATGCCAATGGAAAACAAAAATATTCGTGATTACATTTTTAATATGTTGAGTGCATTGAAAAGAAAATATAATCTATTCAACGTACATATATGTATTTGCTGCGAGAGGGCTTTTGTCCGCCCTATTATTTTCACGGGAGGGCTTTTGTCCGCCCTGTCATTTTTACGGGAGGGCTTTTGTCCGCCCTGTCATTTTCACGGGAGGGCTTTTGTCCGCCTTGTCATTTTCACGGGAGGGCTTTTGTCCGCCTTGTCACTTTTTAACGGGAGGGCTTTTGTCCAGGAGGGCTTTTGTCCTACACTCCTGTCTGTCTGTTCATAAAAACTGTTTTCTGTGATCACTTTTAAAGAACTTTTCCAACAAATTTACTTGAAATAGAGAAAAATTGAAACATTAGTGAATGGCCAATGGCCCTTCAGAATGTTGATGGGGTTCTAACCGGTAGGGGACTTATGGATTGCTTGCAATACTATGATAATTGCTTGTTAATTAATTTATTAAAGTTATTTACGCAAAAAAGAAAGCAAATTTAATCTTGTTTCAGATACTAAATATCAGGCAACAGTGATTAGAACTCACCCGATGATTGTGATGGGTTGTCCTGGATATCAGAAGACTTTTGATGATTGTGATGGATATCAAAAGACTTGTGATGATTGTCTGAAGGTATTAAGCTTAGAACTTTGATATTTGGTACATAATATCATCTATAGGTCATAAAAATTGTTCAAATTTTGCCCCTTGTGTCAAAATTGGCCTGGCCTGGGGGTCATAGGTTTTTCTTATATGTATATATTTAGCATATAACATTGTGTGGTGAACATATAAAAAAGATTGTTCAAATTATAGCATAGGGGTCAAAGATGGCCCCGCCCCAAGGGTCTTTGATTTTCATTGTGTACATAAACTTTAAAAATACATTTTTCTTGTCTGAAGGGAAACAACTTATATTGGAATTTCCTTTTTACATGTTATACAATTCTCCTATAAAAAAAATCAATAGCTGGGAGTTAGTCTTAAGGTTATGACTTCTAGCAAGAGAAATTATATTTATGAAATGATTAGATATCATGAACACTAGCAAGAGAAATGTTTACTTTGCAGGGATATTAAATGAAACAATTTGAGCACATTATAAGGACATTATGATTCACACCATGTTTATAATGATGATTTTAAATTGTAAATATTTTTTATGTTTTTAAAAATTGGTAATGCTTGATTGAAAAGATAGTATTTAAGAAAAAGGAACTTTACCTGCATTTCAAAGTAAAATACAGCTATGTTATACAGTTAATACCTAATTTTTGTCAAGTAAAAATTCACTTCTTTTTGAATCAATTACTGCACTATGGCACTTGTATCTGAACATTAGACACATCTGCACTTTGTCTTTCATTTGATATGCTGAAATATGATTTGACCCCCAAATTCACTATTCCCTTCTGCATTATGATGGCAATATTCCACTGTATAGAAAAAATCTACTTCTGTGGCATAGCATTTTTTAGCTCACCTGACACAAAATGACAAGGTGAGCTTTTGTGATCACAATTTGTCTGGCATCCGTATGTCTGTCATCCTTCCCACCATCCGTAAACTTTCACTTTAAATGACATCTACTCATAAACCGCTGAGCCTATTTCATCCAAACTTCATAGTGGAATATTCCTTTGGTGGTCACCTTTGAAAATTGTTCAAAGAATTCATTTCCATGCAGATCTCTGGTTGCCATGGCCACTTAAATCAAAGGGCTGCAAGCTCTGTGGTATTTTCTGATCTTTGCAATCTAAATCATACTGACTATCTGTATGTTTTTTCCTATATAAGTTTATTTTTATATACTATAATTCATCTTACGCAGCGACTGCGTTAAGATTTTTTTCCTATAACAGTTTGAGATTGATACATATGGAATTTTGCATGACTAGAGTTGCATCAAAAATCATTTTTTATTACAGCCACACTTTATCCTTGCATATCGAGGCTACTTCCTTAAAAAGACACTTAAAAAAAAGTTGCCTCGACTAGGATTTGAACCTTAGGCCTCTCACACCCTAAACGAGCGCGATACGAGCGCGATACCCCTGCACCACGGTGAAGTAATACGTAATATGTAGCCTGAATAAAAACAAATACATTGTAATTCTAAATTGAGAATTTCCATTTCGTGTTTGTAATCCTTATCAATTTCGAGGTATTTTGTTCACGATAAACCTGTTTAACACTGATAAAAATAATTTAGCCAAAATCTTCTCGCCAAAACAGTCCGACATGTATATATTCCACTACTCGGCAGTCAGATTTATTTGTGTACTATGCCCTGGAGTATTCAGTAATCGACATAGCTAAAAATAGCATTTTCATTGATTAAAATGATATTCATTCGCGAAATTTGTGATTGTAACCTCATATTTCTATTGACTAATCTGAACTTTCAATGCACTGTAATTCGTTAAATGCCTACATTAAAAATTACTCTGTCTTTTAAATTGCTGGTTTTTAAGCAGTTTTGAGTGAGAACTACTTTGCGTTGTTAGGTCTGTTAGGAAATTTTGTGTTAGACCGTGGATGTTAGCTATGTATTTACTGATCTTGCGATCAGAAAATACAAAAATCTCCTATTACAAAACCCAATATATATATATTTATATTATATACATGTATATATAGCAAAAAACTTGTTTAAAAAACCCAAAGAGCTAGAGCATAGATATTTAGCATGAAAGATTATCTAATGGGTGTCTACAAAGTTAGTTTAAATAAAAGCCCTGGGGTCAGAATTGGCCCCGCCTCAATGGGTCATATATGTATATAGAAAAAACAAAACAGACAAAATCTTCTTTTAAATAACCCAAAGAGCTAGAGCTTAGATATTTATCATGAAAAATCCTTTAGTGGATGTCTACCAAGTTTGTTCAAATAAAAGCCCTGGGTCAAAATTGGCCCAGCCCCAGGGGTCATTGATTGATTTTCCTAATATGTATACATATCTTTTGGAACTGTTGTTTTCCCTTAGCAATAGCAACCAGTAATGTTTTATACAGGCACTATTTCAGGGGAGGGCCATTAATTTTCCTTATATGTATATAGTAAAAAAAATCATAAAAAATACCCAATGAGCTGAAGTTTAGATATTTAGCATGAAACATTTTCTAGTGTGTGTCTACCAAGTTTGTTCAAATAAAAGCCCTGGGGTTAAAATTGGCTGCACCCTGTGGGTCATTGATTTTCTCTATATGTGTATAGTAAAAACTTATAAAATCTTATAAAACACCAAAGAGCTAGAGCTTAGATATCTAGCATGATATCACATTTAGCATTGTTCAAATAAGAGCCCTAGGGTTAAAATTGGCCCTGACTCATGGGGTCATTGCTTTTCCTGATAAGTATACATTAAAAACTTTAAAATCTTCTTTTTAAAAAAAACCCAAAGAGCGAGAGCATTGATATTTAGCATGAAACATCTTCAAGTGAGTGTCTACCAAGTTTGTTTAAATAAAAGCCCTTGGTCAAAATTGGCCCAGCCCCAGGGGCCATTGATTGAAAACTGTTGTTTTCCCTTAGCAATAGCAACCAGTAATGTTTTTATACATGCACTATTTCAGATACAAATATGGACTTTGTGATATCAGTTTAAGATTAAGATTTTATATCTGCTTTTGTTTATAGTTTACAATAATACTTGTTCCTTCATAAAGAGTTTTTATATTCAGGTGAGCGATTTCAGGCTCATAGCCCTCTTGTTTGACTGATGTTTTCATAATTGTAGAATAGTAAGTTAAATGGTCTTCTTTCCTTTGGATTGAGTCAGTGGTCAGTTTGGTCAAGGTCTCAATTGCTAAAAATATATTTTTGTGCCCCCACCCCTTTGAAGAATAGGGGGTATATTGTTTTGCTAATGTTGGTTGGTCTGTCTGTCGGTCTGTCCGTCGGTAGACCACATGGTTTCCACTAATTATCTTGAAAACTATTTATCACAAAGTCTTCATATTTCACATAGTGATTGCTCATAACTAGAAGCTGACCCCTATTGATTTTGGGGTCACTAGGTCAAAAGTCAAGGTTACATGTCAGAATGGTTTCCGCTCATCTCGGTTACTTTATATCACAGTCTTCATATTTCACATATTGATTGGTTATAGTTAGTAGATGATCTCTATTGATTTTGGGGAAACTAGGTCAAAGGTCAAGGTCACAGGCGTCTTAAATGTCAGAATAGTTTCTGCTCGTTATCTTGAAAACTATTTATTACAAAGTCTTTTTAGCTCACCTGAGCTTGCTCAGGGTGAGCTTTAAGGATTGTTGAATGTCCGTCGTCCATCCACACTTGTTCGTTAACACCCTAGCGGTCACATTTTTGCCTCAATCATCATCAAACTTGGTCAGGATGCTTATCTAGTTGATAGCTCAGATGAGTTTGACCATGGGTCATCTCGGATGAAAAACTAGGTCACCAGAGCTAAAAATAGAAAAACCTTGTTAAGACTCTAATGGTGACATTTTTGCCTCAATCATCATCAAACTTGGTCAGGATGCTTGTCTAGGTGATAGCTCAAATGAGTTCGAACATGGGTCATCTCGGATGAAAAACTAGGTCACAGGAGCTAAAAATAGAAAAACCTTGTTAACACTCTAGTGGTGACATTTTTGCCTCAATCATCATCAAACTTGGTCAGGATGCTTGTCTAGGTGATAGCTTGGATTAGATCGAACATGGGTCATTACAGATGAAAAACTAGGTCACAGGAGCTAAAAATAGAAAAACCTTGTTAACACTCTAGCGGTCACATTTTTGACTCAATTATCATCAAACTTGGTAAGGATGCTTGTCTAGGACATTGCTCGGATGAGTTTGAACATGGGTCATCTCGGATGAAAAAGTAGGTCACGGGAGCTAAGAATAGAAAAATCTTATTAACACTCTAGTGGCTACAGTTTTGATCCAAATATCCTGTAAATTGGTCTGAAAGTTTGTTTTAATGATTTCTAGGTCAAGTTCGAACATGGGCCATTACGGATGAAAAACTAGGTCACACCGCCCAAATATGGAAAAACACGTTGATAACACTCAAGTGGTCACATTTTTTACTCAATTATCATCGAACTTGGTCAGGATGCTTGTCTAGGGAATTGCCCGAATGAGTTTGAACATGGGTCATCTCGCCTGAAAAAGTAGGTCACAGGAGCTAAAAATAGAAAAATCTTGTAAACACTCTAGTGGCTACTGTTTTGATCCAAGTATCCTGAAATTTGTCTGAAAGTTTGTTTTGATGATTTCTAGGTCAAGTTCGAATATGGGTCACCTGAGCAAAAAACTTGGTCACACTGCTCAAATATGGATAATCCTTGTTAACACTCTAGTGGTCACATTTTTGACTCACCTGTCATAATACTTGGTCAGAATGCTTGTCTAGGTAATTATATGGATGAGTTTAATGGGTCAGGTTCCATGTACCAATTTATGGCAAGTTTTATAACAAAATTAACAATTGTGTGAGTCAAGGGCTAGAAAGGGGGGGGGGGCATATGTGTTGTTTGACATTTCTTGTTTTTTGTTGAATTGTATTCAAACTTTGAGAAAGAAAATTTAAATTTATTTTGGAATAAATATTTTTGTTGTCCCAAACTGTTGACTTCAAACGTCTACATCTTACATATTTTGC